ATACAATTTTTTTCTTTCAAAATCGTTAACACTTTTCAAGAAGACTTGACGATTTGAAAGTTATTTAAAGTGTGTCCACACGTATCGTTTACGGTAACAAATTGTCCCGAAATTTCCAAGTAAAGTCGGGAACAACAGTTTCGTTTCTAGTAAACTGATAAACATGCGCACGTGTTTCCGGTGTGGGAGAAAGTACCTGAACGYACTGGTTTTTGCTATTTGCGCATGCGCGTACTCAGTCCGACGTTAGCTGAAAGTGCTAGTGTGGTAGAACTGAATGGAGACAGAAGCAGTGACAGAAAAAAGGTAATTTGAGCATTAACTCTGTCTTGTTAGCGGTGTGATCTCTTATCAGCTGCCAGSTTTAGTGAGCAGTCTACAGTTAGCTCGAAGCTAATTCGGCCGTGTTTGCTGTTGCTAACCCGGCTGCCGGGGCTTCCTTCCCCACTCAACAAGTGCCTGGAGATGCAGAGGCTAAAATATTTGAAAAGTTGCTGGCAGCTGCTGAAATCGAGCTGTGAAGGAGCAACTAAGCTCTCGTCTTCCATCTCAAGAAGCTATAGCCGTGTAAGTGACTGCTTTGTTGGTTAAAAGTGTTTGCATTAAGAGAGGTTTTGATTTAAGTTAGCGTTTTGTTTAAGAGATCACTGAGCTAAATCTAATCACATTACGGATTTTGTAGCCGTTAAGTTAATAACTTAGTCCCATAAAACCTTTTTATGTACTGTAAAACTGAGGCAGTCAGAGTTCAATGTGTGTAACACGACGAGATGACAAACAGCAGATTATTCAATCCTTGCTCCCAAGTTAATCAACAACCTCTCTCTGACCCAGCTCCCTCCACGGGGCCCCAGCTCGTTTGGACTCCTCTTCGACATCGATGGGGTTCTGGTCCGGGGCAGGACACCCATCCCTGCAGCCAAGCAGTGCTTCAAGAACCTCGTGGACCGGAATGGGAAGTACAAGGTGCCCGTGGTGTTCGTCACAAACGCTGGAAACTGCATGAGGCAAACCAAAGCTGAGCATCTGTCTCACCTGCTCGACGTGGAGGTAAATCAAATCCCATCTAAACCGGTGACCTGGTCGGTTTGGTTTTCTCTGACATCTTTTGCTCCCCGTAGGTGTCTCCGGACCAGGTGATGCTGTCTCACAGTCCTCTGAGGATGTTTACCCAGTTTCACAAAATGTGCGTGCTGGTCTCGGGACAGGGTCCTGTCGAGGAGGTCGCTTACAAGTATCCTGTGTTCACCGACTGTTTGTTCTGTTGACCCCGGGTGTGCAGGATTTTTTTATTCAATGTTTCTGTTCCACTTTATGGGTACTTTGTACCTATTCTTACTTTTTCTGCTTAGTTGTGTCAGTGAGGCTGTTACAGATTTGTTTTTTAGAGAGTTATTTAGAATGTAATATAAGATAACATTGTAAATAGAAAAGCTTTTTGTGCTTTCTCATCTGTGTTTGACTTTAACTCACTGAATTCCAGTCTGGGTTTTGAGGATGTGGTCACTATAGATATGCTCAGAGAGGCCTATCCTGTCTTAGATGTTGTGGATCACAACAGAAGACCTAAAGATAGTGTAAGTAGTACCGATATTGAAGCTCGTTTCCGTACGTACAAATGAAGCAGACGTTATGCTTACTGTTAAATTTCATACAGATTCCACCCACGAAAGGCTTACCACCAATAGACGGTACGTTTCCTCAAATAGCCAACGTRTGAAGACGATTCTCGACAGGTTTTTGTTTTAAACTGTGTTGCTGTCATTTTCTGCTGTCATTTTCTGCAGCCGTCGTCCTGTTTGGTGAGCCGATCAGATGGGAGACCAACCTCCAGCTCATCATCGATGTCCTCCTAACCAGCGGGAACCCCGATAGAACCTGGAATCCAACCCAATATCCTCACATCCCGGTCCTGGCCTGTAACATGGACCTGCTGTGGATGGCCGAGGCCAAGAATCCGAGGTACGCCTGCAAAATCTCTGAGACGTTATTAAAGGGATCCAGGATTAGTTGCAACATTAGACGTTATCTGGTAAACATATATTTTAACTGTAAAATAAAG